AGGCATAGATATAAGAATTTTGCAATTCAAGATAAGCTTTTACCAGTTTTCAAACTCCCCAAATCAGGGAGAGATAAATCAGTTCAGTAAAGAAAGCATATAATTTTAAAAAATTAATAGATTTTTCTTCCCGTTGGTTACAGATGTCTAAAAGATGTTTTTCAAACACAAGAATATAATGATTTTATGTTTTCTTAAATCAACAGTATTTGGAAATGCTCCGGTTCTGGCTCCCACCCAGGGGTGGGGAGTGGGCAGGTCAGGAGGGAAGTTACGATTCTTTGGGAATAAATCAGCCCGTGGGCCCCATGAACCAACCTGTGTCCAAATGGGATTAACTGGTCCGCAGGACTCAGTCCTGCCCAAAGCGACAGCTGGAGGGGCTTCGCTCTGCTTCAGCTCTGTTTTACAGGGTGCCTCTCAGAAGGCATCCCCACACAGCAGGCACACAGGCCACCAGTCTCCTCTGGGCCCTTTCTTGAATGCTCAAGCCTTCTGAAAATGTTTGGGTGTGCGGCATGTTCAGAGTAACTAGATCTTACAGGTACGTGGAGTCTTGAGAGAGCTTAGCTACATCTCCAAGTCCACAGCAGTTATCAGCACATCTTAGTCCTTTAATCTTCCTCTTCCTGTCTCGAATCCTTCTGGGACTTGGTGTAGCACGGGGTTCTGAAGATGGAGTTGTGTGGCCTGTGACTCAGTCACCATTAGGACTGTCAGCTGTGACCTAACTGATTCAGCATGACGTGCTGTAGGTGTGGCTCTAGTAGGTAGCGGAGAGATGGCACCTCTGTCCACTTTGCCGCAGTAGATTAGGTCAAGCAGGGAAATCCAGGGTTTACTTTACATTGCGATTGCTCATTTTACCCCTGACATCAATCATTTTTTATGGCCCTATTAAGCGTGGCCTAGAAAGTGCTCTGGGAGCCATTAGGGACACCCTGCTGCCTTCAGGCAGGTGACATTTGGTTGCTCTGTGTAGGTTACATCTTACCGACCTCATCCGAAAGAGCCTCATTTGAACATGTTTCAGTCTTACATAGGTTCAGCTGGACCACGAATCAAACCATTACACATATATTGAATAAAAGACTGAAAAGTGCATAGTTACCTTAAGTGTAAGTACAAATCTTGCTTTTGTTCTAGTGGGTATTCATTATATATTTATCTGTGAGGTTTTCTTCCAAAGAAGCTAATTTGGTAGAGGTAAAATGACAAATGAAGAAAAGGCCTGAAGAGGTAACTAAGCTCCAACCACATCTATACCACATCATGCTAAATCTGTAAGGTCACAGCTGACAGGCTTAAAGGTGGCTGAGTTATAGACGACACAACACCATCTTCAGAACCACATGCTACACCAAGTCCCAGAAGGATTGGAGAGAAGAAGAGGAAGATTAAAGGACCAAGATGTGTTGATGTATCTGCAGCTGAGAACAGCTATCAAAAGGCAGCAAACATGTGGGAAAGAACCTGCTCTTTAGCTTAGAGGTCAGAAATACACTGACATCATCTCTGGAATTGGAATGAAGCCAATTTTTCAGTCAGTTCAGTCACTCAGTTGTGTCTGACTCTTTGTGACCCCATGGACTGCAGCACGCCAGGCTTCCCTGTCCATCACCAACTCCTGGAGGTTGCTCAAACTCAATGTCCATCACATTAGTGATGCCATCCAGCCATCTCATCCTCTGTCATCCTCTTCTCTTCCTGCCTCCAATCTTTTCCAGCATCAGGGTCTTTTCCAAGGAGTGAGCTCTTCGCATCAGGTGGCCAAGGTACTGGAGTTTCAGCTTCAGCATCAGTCCTTCCAGGGAATATTCAGGACTGATTTCCTTTAGGATTGACTGGTTTGATCTCCTTGAGTCAAAGGGACTCTCAAGAGTCTTCTCCAACACCACAGTTCAAAAGCATCAATTCTTTGGTGCTCAGCTTTCTTCATAGTCCAACTCTCACATCCATACATGACTACTGGAAATAGCTTTGACTAGATGGGCCTTGGTTGGCAAAGTAATGTCTCTGTTTTTTAATATGCTGTCTAGCTTGGTCATAACTTTTCCTCCAAGGAGCTTTTCCTTGAGTTTCATGGCTGCAGTCACCATCTGCAGTGATTTTGGAGCCCCCCCAAAATAAAGTCTCTCACTATTTCCATTGTTTCCCCATCTATTTGCCATGAAGTGATGGGACTGGATGCCATGATCTTAATTTTCTGAATGTTGAGTTTTAAGTCAACTTTTTCACTCTCCTCTTTCACTTTCATCAAGAGGCTCTTTAGTTCCTCTTCCCTTTCTGCCATAAGGGTGGTAACATATTCATATGTGAGGTTATTGATATTTCTCTTGGCAATCTTGATTCTAGCATGTGCTTCATCCAGGCCAGCATTCGCATGATACACTCTGCATATAAGTTAAATAAGCAGGGTGATGATATACAACCTTGATGTACTTCTTTCCCTATTTGGAACTAGTCTGTTGTTCCATGTCCAGTTATAACTGTTGCTTCTTGACCTGCATACAGGTTTCTCAGGAGGCAGGTAAGATGTACAAGTATTACCGACTCTTGAAGAATTTTCCACAGTTTGTTGTGATCCACACAGTCAAAGGTTTTGGTGTAGTCAATAGAGCAGAAGTAGATGTTTTTCTGGAAATTTCTTGTGTTTTTGATGATCCAACAAATGTGGTTCCTCTGCCTTTTCTAAATCCAGCTTGAACATCTGGAAGTTCACAGTTCACATACTGTTGAAGCCTAGCTTGGAGAACTTTGAGCATTACTTTTCTAGCGTGTGAGATGAGTGCAATTGTGCAGTAGTTTGAACATCCTTTGGCAATTTTTAATTGGTTTTAAAGCCTGAAACGGGACATTCCTGCAGTCATCTGTGAACCAACTTTACCCTATAGAAGCTGAATGAGTCCTGCTAAACTGTTTGCCTTGTGAATTGTTTTGTTTGGGTCCCTTATAGTACTGGAAGCTCTTGTGCCATAATTTCACATTGAGCTACAGTGTTTTGTGGTGTAGCTTGAGCAGGGATTCATAGAGAGGAGACCTCCAGAGAAAAACCAAGTGCCTGCATGGATGTGCCCTGGGGGTCAGGTGGGCCCCTTGGGGGCTGGGAGCTGGTGCCCAATTTCCTCTTCACTTCATCTGGCAGAAGAGGGACAGCCAGACAAACAGACTGCATCAGCAAAGGCCAAGCAAGGTGTTTTAAGGTGGATGTAACTTAGAATTGCACTAGAGTCACTTCTGTAACTGTAGTGCTTTGCAAGCAGTCACATTTCCACAAAGTCCAGTTGAATGAATGGAGACTCTTGAAATATGCGGGTGTGTGGGGAGCACCCCCACTTCCCCATGCTCAGGACGTGTGTCTAGGATGTGGACACAGCACTGGCATGAAAGATGGAACAAAGAATTCCCCTGACAGTCCCCGTGCAAAGGGTTTCTCCACTTCCTCCTTAAGAATTGGGTGAAGAAGATACCTAAAGATGCTCAACAATTTCTGAAACAGAATGGGAAATCCTCTGTTGATGAGGAGCTTTGCCTAAACTAGCTTGTAACTAAAATCCCAGTTTCTCAGGTTGGAAGCAGTGGAAATAAGGAAGCTCACCAGGAACTTTCAGCATTTGGATTTGCTGCTGCTGCTGCTAAGTCGCTTTAGTCGCGTCCGACTCTGTGTGACCCCATAGACGGCAGCCCACCAGGCTCCCCCGTCCCTGGGATTCTCCAGGCAAGAACACTGGAGTGGGTTGTCATTTCCTTCTCCAATGCCAAAGAAGTAGGAAGGAGAAAAGAGCAAGGAAACCAAATGTAACTATTGAATAACAGCAACTACAACATCCACAATTACAAGAAGCTATGGTACACAGGGTTTTACTATTCTTCCCCCAAAGGAATAAAAACATTTCATTTTTTAAAAAATAGGTCAAATTCTTCAAAAATGTCAGTGTTGTAAAAGACAGAAAGGCTGAGGAACTGTTCTAGATAAAAGGACACCACAGAGACCTGATGACTAAACGCCATGTGTGACCCTAGACTGCAGGGAAAAATGCTACAAGGACATTATTGAGTCAACTGGCAAAACTAGGATACAGCCGGCAGATTAGACAAGGGGCTGTACTAATGTCCAATTTAAGTACAGCAGATTATGCAAACTAATAGTCTTCTTTTGGAAAATCCATACTGAAATATTTAGGGATAAAAGGCCATGATGTAGGCAACTTACCTGAAAAAAATAATTAAAATTTGAGATACAGTTGACTAGAATTTTCAATTTTATGATACACTTTAAAATATATCAGTCCGAGGTGCCAGATCTTAACTCTGGAATGTTTTATAGTTTCAGGCTGGCACCCAGGTGACTGGAATCTCTTTGAAGCGACAGGGAGCTGCAGAGATGTGGTATTTATTCAGGGACTGTAGGGTGGGGACCCAAATTTCAGAGGGGAAAACACTTGATCAGGTCTCATAGTTACCGTGAGTGTAATAAACCACACATGTAATTATTCTTGAGGCCTGCTCATAAGTAAGCTTTACCAGGACACAGTACACTTACACATTTCAGCGGGCCAAGAGCATAAAAGCAGCACTGCTTACACGGTAGAACAAAAATAGGTCTTTATGCTCACGGAAATCAATGCTTCCCCTAATTCAGGGCGATGCTTGAGAACCGTGTGTTTCAGCACAGCTCAACTTGACATGGGTGTTCCGGAGCCAGGCCCTCCGGCTCAGTCCCAGCGCCACTCACTTACTAGCTGTGTGACTTTCGCAACCCCATGTCTCTGTGCCCCAGCCTCTCCATCTGCAAAACTCGTATAACGACAATACCTACCTCACTGAGCTGGGAAGTGGATTAAATGAATTAGCACTCTCAAATCATGAGAGAGCCTGGCCCATGGTGAAGAAGCCATGAATATTAGCTTTTAACATGAACCGAATGTGGTAATACCAGAGACAGGAGAAGAAAAGGATGTAGTGCCCTAAACCTGGGCGTCCAGGACTCTGATATTCACCTATGACACAGAACGGCTTTCGGGCGAATCTCAGTCTTCCCTGCCATCCGCGGTATCGGCAGCAACAGCCTGCAGACCAGATTCGAATGATGAACTCCAAACCAAAGACGACGATCATCACGAATTCCTGAAACATCAAACAGGGCATGTCAGGGAGGGGCATTACTGAGCAAACTAGAGCAGGAATCTCCATGGATATTATACAGTCAGGCACTTCATCTAAAACATCTGGTTGTTAAAGTCGGAAGCTAACATTTCCTTTGCTCCAAATCAAGGTAAACCCAGAGAACATCAGAACCCCACATTGTTTCCTAGTGTGGAACACTATTTCTCTTCAAGTCTCTAACGTCTTGCAAATTTAGGAGTCAGTTTTAATTCTAAAAGTGCAGCCTGAATTACAGGTTCCCCTTGCCTGGTATATGCAGTCCCTTGGTATCCCCAGGAAACTGGTTCCAGGATCCCCTGGACACCAATATATGTGGATGCTCAAGTCTCTTATGGAAAATGGAGTAGGGCTTGCATGCATGTAATCCATGCACATCCTTGCATATACTTTGAGTCATCCCTAGATTACTTATAACACCTAATATAATCAAAAGTTTTGTTAATAGTTGCTGGCACACAGTTAAAATTTTGCTTCTTGGAAATTTCTGTTTGTTTGTTTGTTTTTTTTCACAAGTATTTTTGGTCTACGTTGGTTGAACCTGTGGATGTGAAACCTGGAGATAAGGAGGGCTGACTACATAGTGCAATTGCCCTTAGTTACCTGGTAACGTGAAATATTTGAAATGAAAGAGTGAACTCCAAAAATACAGTTTACAGTTTTACAGAAAGCAGATCCTCATTTTGCTGCAAGGAGTGACATAATCCCTGAGCTCTGAGGAGTTGTTCTGAGACAAAGAGAGATAAATATTTAGGAGTATACTGAGTTCTTTTGTCATGATGTCAAAAATCTCCTTATAAGACAGCAAGTTTTGACAGTGTTATCGTGTGCAGCACACACATCCTTTGCCAGAAATGAGACCCTGAAGCCTCTGGAGATGAAACTTGTTAATTACTAGGCTGCCCTTTGGTGAGAGCTGCCTAGAAAATAATACTTGTTCCAGCAAGTATTTGAGATTTTCTAGGAAGAGTTGTGAGTGAACCCTGGGAAAGGCCAACTAAAGAGGCTCATTAAATAGTTGGTCACAGAAGGCAAGGGAAACCACCTTCCCACAGAAGGGAAACCACCGGAATTTGTTAAGAAAGTGTCTCTGGAGCAAACTTGTCATAGTCACCTTGTCATTCCTTGAATGAGTCAGGCACAGAGTTTTTCAACACTTGTTTCCCTTTAAAAATAATATTTCTCTCTTTTGTTTTTAAAGAAGCATTGACTCAGCACTTAAAATGTATTAATAGAATAGTATTTATTGAGGCTTCCCTGGTGGCTCAGGGGGTAAAGATCCACCAGCAAAGCTGGAGACCTGGGTTGGGAAGATCCTATGGAAGAGGAAATGATAATCCAGTATTCTTGCCTGGAGAGAACTTCATGGACAGAGGAGACTGGCAGGCTACAGTCCATGGGGCTGCCAAGAGTCATACATGACTGAGCGACTAACACACATACACAGTTATTAATTGATCTTTGCTATAACTGCTTAATTATAAAAGTGATACATGGTTTTTTACTAAAACCTCTAAACACCACGGAAGTGTTGAGTGTAGAAAGTGAAGGTCCTAATCTACTCTCCATCCTCCTGCCCCATGTCCCAGGATAAAAGCCATTATCAAATTTAGAAAAATGGCATTTTTGTTGTAAGTTTCAGGGAAATGTCTGTTTCTTCAGTTAGAGTACGTGATGATATGCCACACTTTTAAAATGCCTAGTAGAGATACAGCATTCTCTCCTTCTGTTATTTTTCACTAAGTAACCTGCAAATATTTCTCATGATGGGAGATAAAGCTCCAGTATTATGGCTGCTACTTACAGTGACTTAACACTGAAAGTGAAAAGTGAAAGTGAAGCTGCTCAGTTGTGTCCAACTCTTTGTGACCCCAGGGACTGTAGCCTACCAGGTTCCTCTGTCCATGGGATTTTCCAGGCAAGAATACTAGAATGGGTCGCCATTCTTTCTCCAGGAGATCTTCCCGACCCAGGGATTGAACCCGGGTCTCCCACATTGTAGGCAGATGCTTTACCTTCTGAGCCACCAGGGAAGTCCGGCCCAAGGCTAAATCTCCACAGATGATTTCATGCAGATAACCAGAGCATGGTCAGCACACACTCATTCATGATATGAGGGTTTTGTTTTGGTTTGCTTTGTTCTGGTTTTCAGTATACATCTAGGTGGGCTTCCTTGGTGTCTCAGACTGTAAAGAACCTGCCTGCAATATAGGAGACCTGGGTTCGATCCCTGGGTCGAGAAGATCCTCGGGAGAAGGGAATGGCTACCCACTTCAGTATTCCTGCCTGGAGAATCCCATGGACAGAGAAGACTGGTGGGGTACAGTCAATGGGTCACAGAGTCAGACATGACGAGTGACTAACACTTTTTACACTATATATCTAGGTGGTTGAGTTTATTCATCCTTAAGGTGACTGAAGTGCCATGTTAGGAAGAGCTGGGAGTGAACCTGGGGAGGCAAGGCTTCCTTTAATCTTCCTCCAGCCTCACACAGAGCCTGCTGACACCCACAGGGCCCTGTAGCTGGGCCCATGTCGAGTCTGTGTTTAGTGGCAGGCCTACTTTTATCCCTGTCTCCTCCTTCTACTTGAGTCAGGGAGTCTGGTGCTCTCCTGGTGGGGGGTCCTATTGTCAGGGATAGCTGAGAAAACTCAAATATGGCCTGAGCAATGAGGCACTACCGCATAAAGCTTCTCCTCTTTCATGGGAATAGCTGCTACCGGTAGATGTATGGCCAATATTCTTGAGAACAAAGACTACTGGAATAAAGTAATATTCTATTAGTATAGTAAGGTAGGTCCTCATTGAATCGTTTCTATGTTGTATCCTGAGGCAGTACATTATAGATTTACTCAGGGCCACTTGTTCAGGAATATTGCTTACTGATTTTTTTTTTTTAAACAACATTGGGAAAAATCCTTCATTTCCAAATAAAACAAGAGGAAGTTGTAATTGGATTTTACTACAAGGTCACAGTTTCTGCCTTGGAGGAGTAAGACTGGGGTCAGAACTCTCTCCTGCTAGAGCATTCCTTCATATTCTTTATGAGGGCTTCATTTTAGACTTTGCGAACAGTAAGCTCAAACTCTCTGGTCACCAAGTGAGCATTAGTGAGGTGACTGTGGAACACCTCTCTACAGCCCAGAACTGTGGGCCATGAGAATGTTCCCTTCCAAGACTTGAGCTCATTTGATTGGGAGCAAAAGCATGAAAATCATTTTAACCAGAGTTTGTCTTTTGTTTCCTGAAATTTCTATCTTATTTCAATTAAAAGGAACAAAGTTCTGTGGAGAAAGAGAGGGAAAGTATTATAAATCTGACTGAACTGGAAGGGAATGAAATTGGCAGAAGATCACCTTTTATTACCCCTTTTTCATTTCCCAGCTTTGCTGAGGTATAATTGACAAGTAGAAATTGTGTATATTTGAGCTGTGCATATATACAATGTACATATACATGAGGTCCTGATGTATGTATACATCGTGAACTGATTACCATAATCAAGGTAACATATCCATCACCTCACATAGGTAACATGTTTTTTTTGTGTGTGTGTGAGGTAAGAACACTTAAAATTTAGTCTCTTAGCAAATTTCCAGCACACACTAAAACTGCTATTACCTACAGTTATCAGGCTGTACATTAGGTCTCTAGGACTAATTCATCCAGCATGGCTGACACTTGGTGCCCTTGGTCTAGTGTATCTCTTTTCCCCCATCCTCTAGTTACTGGTAGTTACCCTACTCTCTGTTTCCTGAGTTCAACTTTTTAGATTCCACATATAGGTGAGATCATGCAGTACTTGTGTTTCTGTGTCAGACTTATTTCATTTATCATAATGTCCTCCAACTTCACGTTACTGCAAATTTCTTTTTTTAAAGACTGACTCATATTCTCATATGTTTCTGCCAATCTATCTATCTATCTATCTATGTCACATCTTCTTTATTTATTTGCCCATTGATGGACACTGAGGTTGCTTCCATACCTTGGCTATTGTGAATAGTGCTGCAACAAACATGTGTTTGTGAATATCTCTTTGAGATCGTGACTTTATTTCTGCTGGGTGATATGGTAGTTCTAGCTTTAATTTTCTGAGAAACCTCCATACTGTTTTCCACAATTTACATTCCAACCAGTAGGGTAGGAGGGTCCCCTTTTCTCTTCATCCTCATTCACACTTGTTATCTTATGTCTTTTTGGTAATAACCTTTCTAACATATGTGAGGTGATATCTCATTGTGGTTTTGATTTGCATTTCTGATGATTAGTGATGTTGAACACCTTTTCATATACCTGTTGGTCATTTGTATGTTTTCTTTTGAGAAATGCCTATCCAGGTCATTTGCTCATTTTCAAATCAGGTTATTTAACTAAATTTTGTTATTGAGTTAAGAAAGGTCCTTATATATTTGGATACTAACTTCTTATCAGATATTTGGTGTGAAATGTCTTCTCCCATCTCAGAGGTTTGTGTCTTCACTCTGTTGTTGGTTTCCCTTTACGCACAGACAATTTTTAGTTAGATGACATCCTGCCTGCTTATTTTTGTCTTTGTTATTTGTAATTTTGGAGTTATATCAAGAAAACCAAAAGATAATACTGTATGATATCACTTACATGTGGAATCTAAGAAATAAAACTAACCAGTGATCATGACAATAAAGAAGCTGACTCACAAACACAGAGAACTAAGTAATGGTTACCAGTGGGGAGAGGGGAGACAGGAGGGACAAGTGAGGGGAAGTAAGAGGCACACACTACTGGGTATAAAGTAAATAAGCTACATGGATATATATAGATACAGCACAGGAAATAAGCTGATATTGTATAAAAACTATAAATGGAATACAACCTTTAAAACTTGTGAATCATTGTGTTGGACACCTAAAGTTTATATGATATTGTATATTAACTATATCGTAATTAAAAAAAAAAACTCATTGCCCAAGCTAACATCAAG